GTACAGCCGGCGGGGCCGCCGCGTACAGCCGGCGCGCTTGTCTGCTGCCTACAGCCGCCGCGTACAGCCGGCGCGCTTGTCTGGTACAAACAGCTGGCCAGCACGTATAGCCAGTGTGAACAGTCGGTATGCTTGTCTGCGAGGCTTAGCTGATGCATGGAGCTGGCACATATAGCTAGTACACTTATGGGGTATGCATAGCTGATGCACGTAGCCTGAGCTCTTACCCAGTACGCTTACCTGGTACGCATAGCCAGCACCCCCAGCCGGTGTGCCTAGCTGGTACACAGAGTTAATAACATGGCTGGTATGCATAGCTGGTACGTACAGCCAGTATGCTTGTCTGGTACATTTACCTGCTATGCATGGCCGGTACACTTGTGTGGTCTGCTTACCTGGTCTGCTTACCTGGTATGTATAGTCAGTACACATAGCTCGTGCACATAGCTGGTGTGCATAGCCAGTATGATTACCTGGCACATATAACCAGTACACGTAGCCATTTTGCTTACCTAGTATGCACAGCTAGTATGCTTGTCCAGGACGCATAGCCAGCATGCATAGCTGGGATGTTTCCCGGTATGCATAGCCAGCATACACAGCCAGTATGTTTGTCTAGTATGCTTCCCTGGTACGTATAGCCAGTATGATTGCCCAGTATGCTTACCTGCCACGTGTAGCTGGCACACTTGTCCAGTACGTGTAGCCAGCATGCTTGCCTGGTACACGTACACCAAGATCTAGGGTCAACAGACATGTTCTGGGGGCTTCAGTTTCCACTTGCAACCTTTATAATGTAAATTCCAGGAAGACTGTAAAGCCATACTTTGTACTATGTAGCCATATAGCTACCACGTAACATCATTTTTAGATATACCTGTAGTCCTACACTGCAAATTTCAAGTAGAGATTTGCTTAGAAAGTCAGCAACTCAAAGAACTGACTAGTCTCATTTATACTCCCTGTTAATTAAAAAGAGATTCTTGTGAACAATGTAGTAGCTGATCTGCAATTCTAGATGGTTACCTTTCTGTTGCATGTAGCCTGTAGTAAGTGGTGCCTGGAATTTTTTTTTTTCCTTGAAGCTTCATAAAGATTAATGATATACTCCTAAAAATTTCAGGACTTAGTCCGACTTAGACTGACTTAGTCTCAGAAGTTTAGCGATTGCTCTGCATCATGATGCCTCTCATCTCATCTGAACTGTGTCCTAATATATGTGATTGGTCATCGAATAAAATATATTATGTATGTTTTTTTTTTCTTTTTTTCCTCCTTCTCTCTATAGGAGATGTTTTAAACCTACAGGTCTATTATCCCTGGGAGTTCCGTTCCAGCTCTCCTTGCAGAACAGTTGTTTTCCCACTAATGACATCTGGATTTACCTACTGGGTGATCAAGTGTTTGCAGCAGCTGGACATATGGTCAAGTTGCATCAACAGCTACACCCTTCTTGTATCACCTCGCCTTCTCTTTACAATTTTTTCTTTCATACTTGACTATAGCGTATACCTGTTAGCTCCTTTCTGGGAAGCAGATCCATGGAAAGCGCTGATACTTCTTGCTGGATCCTATGTCACTCTGGTGTTTTATACAAGAACATTTACCAATACACTTGAAGGACTTCTGTTTGCTCTTCTCATGGTACTGGTTTCCTCTGGGAGGTCTGATGGCAGCTTAGCGGAGCCTACAAAAAGCCATCTTATAGGAATTATAACAGTTGCTGGGTTTTTCAACAGGCCAACTTTTCTGGCGTTTGCTCTAATGCCACTGCTTTATTGGATGGGTTTAAACATTAACTCTCAAAAGAGCATCAAAACTGTCATAAACCACTTTTTGAAGCTTATCCCATATGCATGCTTTACTGCTATTTTTTTCATAACGGTCGACACCTTATATTTTACCTCCGTGGGATTAGACAACCTCTACAGCGTTAAAAAGAACAGTCTATTTGATATAATAGCTCAAATAAATCAGAAAATAATAGTAACCCCTTTAAATTTTCTCCGCTATAATCTTAATCCCCATAATCTTGCACAGCATGGAAGTCACCCACGAATTACACATTTTCTGGTCAATGGGATAATGCTCTTCGGGATCCTACATGTTCTGGCCATCAGTAATGGTTTTAAGATGTTAAAGAAATGTATCTATCAGTTACCACAGGTCAAGTCATATTACCGTGGGTCATCTAGGATATTAGTGCATTCTGAGGGCAACCCAATATTATTGTTGTTTTACTTGGTTCCTTTGGCATTTCTCTCCCTGTTCAGTCACCAAGAACCTCGGTTTCTCATTCCTCTCATCTTACCATTAGTCCTGTTCAGCGCCTCACAGAATAGAACTATGAAATGGAAACCTGTCATTATTATTTTCAATGTTCTTGGAGCTTTGTTATTTGGATGCTTACACCAGGGAGGACTGATACCATGCTTGTTTCACTTGGAGCAAGTCATGCATTCTCCAGAGTTGTCAAACCATCCAGGACACTATGTTCTACTCTTTGCTCATACCTACATGCCTCCTAGGTCTCTGCTCAATATCAAGAAAGGAGACACGCATATAGAAGTAATTGATATGGCTGGATCTGAAGAAGAAACCCTCTGCCAAACAGTAGGACAGCGAACAAACAATTTTACCTGCAATGATTGCCATTTTTTTGTTATAGTCCCTGGTACAGTCAGAGCCACAATTACAAAATGTGGTGTGTCGTTCAAGAATGAGACTTTAATATTTCCACACTTATCAATGGAGGATCCACCACAAATATCCTCTCTATTTAGTGAAAATTGGAGAAGTCAGTTAGGACTATACATCCTCCAACTAGACAGATATCAACAGAGTCTTTAGGAGAACTACGTTTTAGTTATTCCCTTCACTTTGGCTCTGCCCAAAAGTGCTGTGAGACCTTTCTCTTCACAGACCCACATTCAGCACAGGCAGTGGCATTGTGAGCTTCCCTTATTCCCTTTATTCTTTTTCTTCTTGCTCTTGTATTTGTCAGTCTAGTCAATTCTAGGTAGAACCTGTTCAAAATTTGAGGGTCATTCAGTTCTTGTGAAGTCTTATGAACTTGTGTAACTTTCCTAATAAAAGATGATGAAGTCAGAACTCAGCAAAATTTTGTTTCAAGCTTAGTTCTCTCCGTGCAGCTATATTTTTGAATTTCTTATAACCTTTGCTAAAGGGTTTGTGAGCTGTGTTTTCGTAGTTGTTGTTAATTTGCATTGACTCAGCTGCTGGAGAGAGGACACTGGACTAGATGAAAGTTTCTCTGACCCCAAGTGGTTGTACTTTTAGGCTTTTAAAATGTCAGAGCCTCCTCTCAGCCATTAGACCAGACTGCAATCGTAATGTAGGTACCAGCATTGTAATATTCTCTGATGAGGCTTTTGGGTGGCCCTCTCTTGAAAAGTCCCTGGTGTTGATCTAACAGATTCTGATTTGGAACATGGAAGAAACTTCAGCATAGGCACTTGTGATAAATCCTAACATCCAAGTGCTATTTTGCCTAGGGAGTGTTTCTTGCCACAGTTCCGTTCTTGTGGACATATTACATCTGTATTACACATAGCAAGTGGAGAATGCTGTTTGATAGTATTAAGCCTATTGCTTAGCTGCTGCAAATGGAGCAGTCCTTCCCTGTCACGCTCCATTTTGCCCTCTCACTGTTTTCATTGCTTTTCATGGCCCTACCAGCATCAGTGGTGCACATCTGGCCTTGCAGGGAGCTGGTTTAAGGAGCTAAGCAGACAGAAAACTTAGGGGGATGTGATCCTTTTTGTGTTTTTGACCACAGAATCACAGAATGGTTCAGGTTGGAAGGGACCTCTGCGGATCATCTAGTCTCCAGATGACTTCTGAATATCTCCAAGGATGGAGAGTCTGCAACCTCTCTGGGCAACCTGTTCCACTGCTCTGTCACCCTCCCAGTAAAAAAGTTGTTCTTAGATTCAGGCAGAACTTCCTGTGTTTCAGTTTGTGCCCGGTGTCGGTGTCTCTCACCCTGTCACTAGGCACCACTGAAAAGAGTCTGGGCCACCTTCTTTATACCCTGCCTTCAGATATTTATAAATAGCAATAAGATCCCTCCCTGAGCCTTCTCTCTTCATAGGCTAAACAATCCCAGCTCTCTCAGCCTTTCCTCATATGATGGAAGTTCCAGCCCCGTAGTCATCTTAGCTGCCCTTTGCTGGGCTTGCTCCAGCAGTGCCGTGCCTCTCTTGTACTGGGGAGCCCAGAAATGGACACAGTACTCCAGATGCGGCCTCATCTGAGCTGAGTAGAGGGGGAGGATCACCTCCCTCAACCAGCTGGCAACACTCTTCCCTAATGCACCCCAGGAGACCGTTGGCCTTCTTTGACACAAGGGCACATAGCTGGCTCATAGTCAACCTTCTGTCCACCGGGACCCCAGGTTCCTCTCTTCCAGCAGCTCAGCCCCCGTCCTGTCCTGGTGCATGGGGTTCTTCCTCCCTAGGTGCAGGACTTGGCACTTCCCTTTGTTGAACTTCAGAAGGTACCTGTCTGCCCGTTTCTCCAGCCTGTTGAGGCCCTGGATGAATCACTGAACTGGCTTACTAGGGGGTTAGATGCGCACCGGTTATGTTGCAGGCAGTGAGTGCGGTTAAGAGGAGTAACACACTCCCCCCTTCAGTAAGGGCTCACCATTAAATCAACCGAGTTAGAATGAGAAATCAGATCCTGGCTAGTAGAGAGGAGTCTGAATTTAAACTGCGATACAAAAAAAACCCTGAGCTACGGTTCAGCGTGCTGTATCTGCTAAATAGTATATCACAACTAACAATTTGTGTTCAGTTTTCATGAACTTCTGGATTCAAAAATTTCCTGACATAGAGAGAGATGTTACAGAATCATACATTAATTCAGTATGTGCGCTGTAGGCCAAGCCTCTCCGTTTGAAATGAATCTGATATTCAGATTCTTTCTGTTTATAGTGGCAGTAATGCTTTTTGCAGTTCTTCGTGCACACAACTGTGAGGTCTTACAAGCCAGTTTTTTCAGCAGAGCAAAGAACACCACGGTTTGATGCCAGGCTCTAAAAGGAAGCCAGGAAAAGTCCCTGTGTGAAGTCCCTGTATATTCCAAATCACATATATGATCTAGACTCTTAATGAACATAGCTCTTGTTCTCTTGTAAAGCATTTTATGTTAAAAGTTTCCCCTACATGTCCACCCCAAATCATCTCTCACTGTTGAAAGGCCTGCAAGTTGCAGGTATGTGCTTTTTGGAGGGGGTAGGGGAAGGAGGAGTACATGTATGTTTGCATTGATGACTTATGCAGTAGTGGAAGTTATGAAAACATTATGATACTTACTAAGTGTATTTTCAAGTTAATTTCCTTTTCTGTGTTCTTCTGTGTTGGAACAATAATCTGGTCTCACCGCTGGTATTCCATGTCCTTTACTGTTTTCAGCTGTGCTTAAACAGCTTTAAAATCTGAAAATTGTTTTCATGAACCTCACAATGTAGCTTTTGAAACTTCAGGAACATGGTGGAGCATCATTCCCACGGCATGATGGCTTCTACACCGTTGCACAGGTAATCTGTTGATAGATCCAATAAGAGAACCTAGACTTCAAAGGCCAATTAAGACCTAAAATACACCACTTTTGACTCACCAGCTCGTTCGTTATCGCTTATACCATACATCCATTTTTTCATTTCTTGCACACTCAAGTCATTGTTCGTGGGAATTTTACTTACACAAGGAGTTCTGGAGACTGTACATGCAATAATCTGTGATGTGCTTTTCCTCTTATGTCACACAGAGAGTGGAAACCATCCTCCCCAGTTATCTAAGCACCTAGGCCTCTAGGCTAAAAAGTGAAACACGCTAAGAGGAGATACTAAGTATTTTAGTCTCAGGTATGTTGTTGGCTACAGCAGCTTAATTAAACCAGCCTAGTGCATCACATAAGATGGATGCATCTTTTTCCATATTTATAGTCAGGATGGCTGTTTGGGTGTTTTTCCCCCCAAAGGCAAATTCTTAGGCCTATTTTACCACCAAAGTATCTTTGCAAACCTCTCTTGCTACCACTGTCTTAAGGTGTGCCATTAGGATAGCTACTAAGTCTCTGCTTTTTCTTTTCCTACCTGTCAAATGGGCTGTTATCCCATCCACCACCAGCACCATCACCATCACAGTTCTTAGAGCTCTTTTTGTATGAAAAGTTGCAACATAAACGTAGAACATAACTGTTGTACAGCCAGCGAGTCTTAAGGGGACGCCAGCGAGAAATTTCGTTTTTATTTTCAGTTATTTTATCACGCACTGAAAGTGTCAATCGTGCCAGTGTCCTGAGCGGCGTGTAAGTGTACCTTCGGCCTGTTACCGAGCGGCGTGGAAAGCGTAAACCGGTTTTGAAATGAAAATCCGTCATGTCGGAAAGCAGCGCGCTTCACATTTCCATGCGCGGACGGGGAAACCAGCCCCTGGGGGTGCGGCCGTGAAGACAGCAGCGCGGCGGGGCTCCTGGCCGCGGGCTCGCACGCTGCTCCGGGCCCAGTTCACCTCCTTCCTC